AATAATTGTGCTGGTGAAGTTCTTTAGAAATATTTAAACTGAGTTTAAAGTGCTTTGTCAAAAACTAATTATAAGTATGGATGCGTTGCTATAACTGTTTTTTTTTTTTGCAGGTTAGTTCTTTGGAAATGGAAACAAATAATAAATAAGAACTGGGGTTGTAGCTGTGGTCACAAGACAGACAATACAGACTAGCAGATGCCTGACATTTAAAAGAATGGTGAAATGCGACTAACTTCTTTGAAATGAATGTAATAATTCACTGTAGGTTTAAACAGCTCACAAATAAAGGCCTAGCCACAGCCTACAGACTTACTTAATTGAAACAGCTCAGTAGATCAGTGGAACGTGACCTGTATGTTACAACTACACAATAACCTCATTGCAGCTACGACATGGAGGGGTCAAAGAAGCACCTTGGTCATTAAAGGTAAAGGCATATACACATGAAAAGGCCTGAAGGGGTGCACAAAGGAAAGGAACACCCCAGCATGTGCATACACACACACACACACACACACAGAAAAACCCCCTCCAAAGCAGCATAAGAAGAGCTTATCCCTTCTTGGAGTGCTCACCCAGTGGGTTAAATGCAAACTCATGCACCCACACACTCACTTGTCATCAGAGCACTGTGTGATTTTTTTTGGGAAGCATGTGGATCAGTGACAGGTGGAGAAGGTACTGGGAGAGTAGGAGGTGCAGGCCTCTGACTCGGGTGTGGCTCCGGCAGGACTTGTTGACCCTGCAGGCCTCCAAACCAGAAACCCTCATGTGTGCATCTACATCTCACTGATGTCATCAAAAACTCAACAATTCACATTCACATGTCACAGTTCAGAGTTCTTTAATATGTCATTTTTAGAGTTTCACAGAAAGATTACAAGCAATTGAAAGCAGGTCATGTCAAACTGTACTAACTGACTGCAAAGCTAACATTTTTTTAAGAGTATCACCAAAAAATAGCTCAGAATGGCCTGTTGTGTCGAGAGAGGTTAATAATACAACCCCAAATTTTGATTTTACATACTGTCCCAACTTTTTCTGATTTGGGGTTGTACCAGGCCCTGATGTTTGAAGTGGATGGTGGATGGTGAGGTCAGCAGACAGCGAGTGTGGTTCATTAGTCTGTAAGTGTGATTGGCTTGCAGGTATAAGGCTCTCTGCTGAGTGACTTATGGCTGTAATTTAGCCTTGATTACATACACCATTACTTTAACTCAAATTAGACTGTCACTCAGGAGATGGGGACAAACTGGATGGAAAGAATCTCTAGATGTAGGGCTGAGGAAAAATAGGTTGGTTTATAAATAAGATCATGCTGCATTAAGGCAATTGAGCTTCCAAAAATAGATATAGGGTGGAAATGCAAAGTTAGAGACATCCAAAATATTCCCACAAGCACTGTAAAACTAAAGGTGTAGAACCTTGTCATTGTATGCACTGTAATGCAGGCATGTATTAATCAGCTTGCTGTAGCCCTGTGACAAGCAATGAATCACTTTCTGGGTCCTGGCCCTGACCCCTCGGTCAAGCTTTTACAGACGACCACTTCATCACAGAACAATCTGCTGCGAGCCTACAGACAAAAGACACACAACTTCACCTGGTGACCTTTCCTCGTGATCCATAGACAGAGGCTGGAGAATAAAATAAACAGGAAATAATAAGAAGAAATCAACTTCATGCTGTTGATTCCTTTATAATATCTCCTTCTGAATGGGGTTCTACCCCTCGTTGTAAATGTTTGTCATGCTGATGTGGAGTAAAGGGATACTTTACGGTGACTTTGGTAGTAAGTGTTATTTAGTAATTGGGCAGATAATGATTTTCTTATTTCAGTGTCAGTTGAACACAGCATAGAGTTTTACTGGGCTATAACTCAGTGTTGGTTTGGGACATTTATTTGCACTATGGAAAACAGTAATAGAAATATCCTAGCATCCTGGTATGCATTAATGTACTTTTTAATGTGCAGCCCATACTCATTAAAGCCTTTTACTGTTAACTCTCCCCTCGAGTGCCAGGAAGTGGACTTCTTCCTACCCAATGATGAGGGGAGATTTCTTGTGTTCATCATATCACTTTTAAGTCAAAGAGACCAGTGGTAGTACCAGAAAATACTCCTGTTCTGAAAGATTTTTATCCTAGAAATGTTTTAGGTTTTAGTAAAAAACCTAAAACATTCTGTTTTTAAGATATGAGCCTCTAACAAATCACTGAGTAATAAAGTTAATTATTGGTAAACAAAACACATCTTTCAAGTTTCACATCTCTTTAATAGACAAGAAAATGTGTTAAACCCCAGAAAATAAACATTTTACAAATAAAAAATTACTTGAAAATAGAATATTACATAAAAAATTAAAAATTCTACAGTAATCAAGTTTGTTTTCTGTGTAGTGCAAAGTCAAACCTTTTTAAGTGATGGATCCTCTTTTTGTGGTATTCAGCAAACTATTGCTGACACAAGAAATCAAAGTCAGGATAAACTGGTCAGAAATTGCTCTGCCATCAGTGATCACTAAAAACTGGTTTACTGAGTTACAACTGGTATTGTCCTTATGTATTTGGTCTCGCCCAGGATTTACCTGAGTCAAGGCTAATCTAACTAATAATGAATGGAATAAATAAGGAATAAGGAATAAATATTAACGGTAATAAAATCAGTTCAACTCTTTTAGAAGGAGGTACACATACTTTGTTTATATCTGATTTCATTGGTTATTGAACTGCTCCAAATATGCAACACACCAACTGTAGTAAATATGGGTTGTTTCATTATATAACTATAAGGCTAAGAGAGGCGACAGTGGTACAGTGGGTAGAACAGTCGTCTCCCACCCAGAAGGTGGAAGGTTCAAATGTCGGTGCCTGCAGTCCATGTGTCGAAGTGTCCTTGCGTAAGACACTGAACCCCCAAGGTGGTTAGAGCCATCGGTTGAGTTGGTGCTGCAGATGGCTGTCATCGGTTCTGTACAAATTCCTTGTAACATACTTGGCTGAATAAAGGTGATTATCCTAACAGTATGGGCAGTGGATGGAATAATGCATGAATGCTCCCACCTTTAAATATAGGGAGGTCCTGTTATTTCTTTTTTGCTGACTTTAGGTGAATGCAGCGTAACACCTGCAGTGCCCCTTGGGAATTTTTTGGGCCAGTGTTGCTGGACAGTACTTCAGCCATGTGGAATTAAGTACAGCTTATTTTTCAATAAGGTTGAAAAATGTTCAATAAGATATGATTAAAAAAATAAAACAACACAATTAAAGGGATAGAAGTAGATTTTAGTGAATTGTGATGGATTTCATAGGAGGAAAAAAAGAGTCAACAACTGTTTGTCTTGGCACTCACAGGATTTGAACTCTGTTCAATCTGATGGCAACTGGGGCTACAGGTCACTGAAGTAATAAATAGACAGGAAACACTGTATTGCCAGAGGGACTAATAGTCCTGGGTTTTATTCAAAGTAGATTAGATTATCTCCCTTTTTATTTGGTTTGAGATGAAAGGTGTAATGACATTGTCATGAATAAGTAGATCTTCATAGACCTGCCATGTTATCTGGTGACCAGACATTTTGGTCTGTGGCTGAAGATGGAGTCAGGACAGTAAAAAAACAAAGTTCTATCATGTTTTGAAAATGGGCAGCAGATCTTTTAGTCTCTCGCTGCAGGACAATGCAGTGGTTTTATGGCATGGGTCACATCTGCTGTGGGATAATGACAGGGGTAAGCCAAATGGAACATGAAGTATGTGCATATTTGTGTGTGAGTGAATGTGTGTGTGCACGCATGCTCATGCACGTGTGGTTGGAAGGGGGAACTAATGAGTCTCCCATGAGCTATTATCTGTACCTTAGCTCCACACTCTGCAATAATAAAAGCTAACATTGCAGAGCTCCCTAACCGGAGACTGCAACACAACACACTGCTCGGCTAATGCAAGTGATTAAGCATCCGCTCAGGATGTGGAAACTTTTCTTTGATCAAAAATAATACATCTGGAGATTAAAAAAACATTTGTCATTTGTTTAAGTTTTTTTTTAATTTTATGCATTTTCCTTAAAATATAATGAAGGAATCAGCTGGAAATTTTTGAATAATGTCTCAATGTGGATTTACTCAGACTGTCCTTTGGGGTCTGGATCAGCCATCTTTTGGCAGCTGCACTATAGCCTCTAATACTGTCTGACCACTAAGCCAATTATGTGATAGGTCTAGGATTCCAGAGTGTCAGCTGACTATAATAAGCCCAGTTCCAAATGGCACCACTGACCCGCACTAGTTTACCTACTGATAGATCCGTTCCTGCATTGATCCACTGAGCAGAGGATTTTTGTTGATTCACAAGTGATTTTGTGATTATTTATTATAGAAGCAATGTTATTAGATGTACTATTGGATATAAAAAGAATATGGCAGAATCAAAATCAATCAATCATATTAGATAAGAGTAATAATGGCACATATGAGGTATAGATAGAGCATGGCCATCATCTGCACACTGGTTCTGTTCTATCCTAGGTTTCTCCAGTAAATAATACTGAAATTAAACGCGCCTCTGGCCATGACCCTCAAATCAAAGACATCTAAGAGGGAGAGAGAGGGAGCGAGAGAGTGAGAGAGAATCCTCGTGAGATGAGCCATGGTGGAGAAACGCAGTGTAATCCCGTGGAGTGGAAAGATAGAAAGATCCTTGCAGCCTGGATATTAGGATATGAGATGTTAGAGCTTTATTCTTCTCTCCACGTCACCAGGGTGGGCGAGTAAGCAGTCTCACATCCCGGCTGTCACGCAAAAACTACTTCAATTAGATTTAGTGAGGCTGAGTTGTTGGCTGGTCTGGGGGATTTAGTGCGCTTCGAGCGCGCAACATGAAGCAGGAGAGGAGCAGCGGAGCGCACTGAGAGACTTTCCATGAGTTAGCGGTGCGTCAGATGGGATGTGAAATTAACTTGTGGTAGAATGGCCCCTTATCTCACATGGATCTCTGAGGGATGGCAGTTTTTCACCACCATCATCCGAGCGCAGACCTGAGGCGGCTCTTCCACCGACTCACCATCGCCTCCTCTTTGAGCATCCTCTGCTTTTCACTTGTCTACCTCCTCACAGGATGCTGCGAGTCGGAACTAACAGAAAACTCTGAAATCAAGACACCCACGCGCGATTTCTTTGGGTCAGGATGGTCTTACGAGAGAAATGGCACCGTTGCCCAAGAGGTTACCGCCGATGTTGGTGAAGGCGCGCTCAGCCGTCATCACGGGCTGGAGGCGAACAGCTCGGGGAAAGAATGGACAGCCACTCGGAGGCTACCCCAGGCTCTGATCATAGGGGTTAAAAAGGGAGGCACCAGAGCTCTGTTGGAATTTCTGCGGCTCCACCCGGACGTCCGCGCCCTGGGGTCGGAGCCGCACTTCTTTGACCGGCATTACGCACGGGGACTGGATTGGTACAGGTACTTACACATTACGCAGAAAATCGCAGCAAAGTCATTGACTCCACCTTGTAGTGCACCAAATGTAGTGCTCTTTATTTTTGTTTCTTTTGATAAACTTAAGATACTTTAGGAGAAAAGTTTATCTTATTATGTTCTAAATTTGAATCTTATTCTGGTCAAAATTACGCTTCTGTTTCTTACTCCATGTTTCTTACTCCATGTTTCTTACTCCATGTTTCTTACTCCATTTACAAGTTCACAAAATTTTACTTAGTGAACGACAAAAAAATTAATTAAGGACTATAAGTTAATTATGGTATTAAGTGAATTTTACTCAGGTCCTGCGCTTGTGTGCGCGCGTGTAAATAGGAAATACTTATATCATTGCAATCTATTTCAACTTCCCCTAGAAGAAACGAGCTTCTGTGTGTTGTTTGCATACCCAAACATATCCACAGCTATTCCACGGAGGTTTTGGTGACAGTCAAAGTGACTCTGCCATCTGGCTATGCCAGTCTGTGCATGTGTGCATGCGTGTCTGCAGTGCTTGCTGTGTGTGTGTATCTACAGTAAGTGTGAGGCCGTGCAGAGCAGCGGAGTAATCATCTTTGGAGCCATAGCCAGATGTTACTGTTGTCATGTGGCTCCACTCTCAGTCTGTTCCATGAAAACTTGGAAATACTCAGAACACACACACACACACACACACACACACACATGAGTGAGTTTCGGGAGAACCAAATTTGAATGACTCAAGTCACTCAAAATTGACTGAGGATAATTAGAGAAAATAAAAGAAAGGTTTTCAGCAGTCCCAGGATTTTAGATTTTTGGGCTCCAATCAGTTTATTTTTTATTCTGCCGACTGTAAGTGGATCTGCTTATAGATCCACCAACTGCTTCAAATATGACAGATTAAAAATGTATCCAAATCTGGACTGTGTGCTGTACTGTAAACCAGCTTACAGTATATTGCGTGGACTCAACAGTGCCATTGGCTCAGCTCTGGGAGTCTGTTTAGCTTGTGAGATGCAACCTATGACAGAGATAAAGTAAAAGTTCTCTGCTTCCTTGTTGGTATTTCTGTGTTGGTGTGACCACACAAACAAACAAATAAACACAACTGTGTCAGATCTGTAGGATGTCAATAGGGCCAGAAATTTTCTAAAATCTGGAATCTGCTGGAAAAGCCAATACAACCTCGCCTGTCTGCCAGCATGTCTGCTGTGTCACACCAGGTGATGTGAATGTGACACCAGATTGTCCCGCCTTCCCCTTGGGGGCCAGATGGGGTGCGGTGCATGTCGAGCCTCTTGACATCACTGTCAGCTCTGTCAACTGCCCTCTGACTCCAGGTCACTTGATGCTGGGAGTTAATGATGTGTTCACACCACTTCATAACAAACGGCACACTCCCAGAGTACAGACACTGACAAAGTAAATGTGTTGCTGTTTTGGTTGCTCAACAGAGAAATACAAGAAACAAACAAACACAGAATCCAACATAATGTATGAATTTCTATTTCAATTGAAGTTTTTTTTTGTATCTTATAAAATAATTCAGGCCTATTACAACCTGGGTCTTTCATTTCTTTGGCTATCATTTCTGTCAGCTATGATAACAGTCACCAAAGTAATTGATACTGTGGAACGTTGCCACAACGAAGTTTGACAGGGCAAAATTAAAATGAACAGACAGACAACTAATTAAGAACATAGTTTAACTGGGTTATGGAACCACTTTCGAGGTTTACACAGTAACCAACCGTTTAATAAGAATTGTCATTGGTTTTGTCTTTCACATACAGTAAGTTCAGTAAGTTCAGCTATTGTAACCTGGCAGTTAGTTTAAAACGTGTGGTTGTCTCAAATTTCTTGCTGATCGACTTCTTTTCAGTGGTATTGTCACATTCCCTTATTTTAGTGATTAACTTATTAGGTACACTGTCTGTATTATTGAAATAATTATGTTAAAAAATACAAAAACCCAGGTTTTGGAGACTCTCTGAAACAGTACTGACAGTTTCCCTGTATGATTGTTTGGAGGACAAATTCAACATGCTATGTTTGAGCCCCTCATCCTCAGTGCGCTTATGCTGCCTTTTGTCAGTCGGCCCAAAGGTTTCTGACAGCCTATAGCCTATCCTAAAGAAAAAATATCAATCAAGAAATATTTTAAAATGGTAAATAGACTTACATTTGTATAACACTTCTTCATGCATTGCAGCACACTCAAAGTGCTTTCACCCAAGCACACATACAGTCACACACCTGTGATACAGTATCACTGAGAGCAACGTGGGATTCAGTGCATTGCTCAAGGACACTCCGACATGTGAACTGGCGAAGCCAGAATCAAAATACCAACCTTGTGGTTAGGACATGACCTGCTCCACCTCTTGAGTCAAATGTTTATATTCCTTTTACCCTAAACTGGCCCTGAAAATGCAATTTCATCCATATTATTTAATTTATTATATGACTAAATTGTTTTTGTAATAATTGCTGGAAAGTGGGGGCCTTGGCCCATTTTGTAATGGAGAAGAAACATGTAGTGACATATATTGTATTTTCCTTAGAATTGTTCCTGGCCTTTCTCAAAATAAAGTAACATTTAGCTTCACCAGGGCACTTGAGATCAAAGCCCTTGACAAAGATCCTCTAATGGTGAGAGCTGCGATGAGCCCTGAGATTGACTGGAAGTTTCCTCCGTACTGTGCTGTCAGGGATCGATAGCTCTATCTCCTCACTCTGACCTTGAGTTGACTCCAGTGTTATCGTTGCGGTTATCGTCGGTCAGCTCAGCTTCTGTTACAATTAGCAGGAAGCTTTATCCTACATTGGCGTAGCCACCCTCCCCCTTAGGCAGACAAGGGTCATATTACACAGCTTTTTCTCTCTTTAGCTCTGGAGGAATCCATTTAAATTGCTCAGCTGGAAATTCACATCTCGCTCGTGATGGTTTCTTGCTGAAAAATGGAATGACAGGTGGATGAAGATAAAACAGGGTGGCAAGATAAGGCCGGGGTGAGCTGAAGGTTAAAGGCTGTTATGGCAACATCACACATCTCCGCTGACCTTTGCTTCAACCTGGGGGATTGTCATCATAGCTGGGCTGCGCTGTCTGTGTATTTCTTGGCAAAGGCAGACATCTTCAGGTTCTGTCACAGTCTGGAGACTGATCTGTCCTCCAGACAACAGGGCCGATGGGCTGGCTGTATTTTGTTCTTGAGGTACAGCAAGATTTATCAATATATTATTGACTCTGAATTACCAGCAGAGCTGTACCCTGAGAGGTTGTATTATCACTGTTTACTGCTCCAGTTCACTTCCAAGAAGTCACATAAAGAGAAAAAAAAATAGAGAACACACACAGAATTCTTTTCAGCCAAAAGCTTCAGCAAACCTTCAACAAAGTTTATTCCAAACAACAGCTGAAGCTAGCAGACATAACACAATGCTAATATTAAAACCATGTATTTGTTGAAAACGCTCTAATGTTTCCATATACTCTGTTCTGAAACAAGAATGCCAAGGGTGTAAAAATTGCACAGGATGGGTACATATTTTGCTAAGAGATGGAGACTAAAGATGCAACAGAATAGGCTAGTTTTTTACTTTTTAAACAAACATTAGTTGACCTATAGGAAGTTGTGCATTTGTTGTGGACCATTCTCTATGTCTGTATTAGTCTGCATTTCATGCAGTAATAGCACATAAAACTGACATTTGTGACAGTGTGAAAAAGAAGAATATTAGCTCTACATCAACTGTAAAATCTTATGTTAGAAGTGTTTGGAGGGGTTTTGTCCCCTGTAAAATTTCATTTCAGAAGGGTTATTTTACACTGACAGTATGATAATTATGCACAAATTTTAACTTCTAAAAATAAATAAAGAGGATAAATATTGAAATATGTAAACTTCAGTACATGCATGTAGAGCTGAACCCCTATTCTTCTGAATGGACAGTGTGGGAGAACTTTCCCTGGGACAGTGAGGGTCCAGTTCTCATCCACACAGTTCAAAAAATCACTCAATGTCTAAACAGTCTGTTGCAAAGTATAAGATTTATTGAGGAAAAAAATCATTAACAACCCAACAGCATCTGTTTCTGGTCCATGGAGCCAAATGACTACAGCACTTGAGATGTTCCTTTTATACTCTCTGTAGCTCCTCCTTGCCCGTGGCTTGCTTCATCCCACCTTCCTCTCTGACCTCACATGGCAAATGCAAGTCATGATTACTCCTTCAGTTTCAAGGCTGATTGACATCCCTTATTTCATAACACATCAATAAAAGAAAATTTCCCTTTACATAACTTCACAACTAAGGACTGTCAGTTATTTCAATTTACAGAATTGTTTTACCTCCACAACTACAGACAACTATAACTACTGAAACATTTAGGCTTTTCTGATTCATTTCCAATTTAGTGTTCAAAACAGTGTGGTGTGTGTGCACATGTGCATGAAATAAATGCACATGTGCATTTGAATAAAATGTATGTAATGTATGCAAAACCAGCGTAGACCAGCATAGAAATCATTCTGGTCTATGCTGGTTAGTGCTGGTGCTGGTGCTGGTATAGCTGGTCTCCCAGCAGAACTATGCTGGTCTACGAGCTAAAACAGCAGTGTACCAGCACTAACCAGCATAGACCAGCGTAGAAATCATTCTGGTTTGTGCTGTTTTTTTCAGCAGGGCATACAACTAAATACAGTAGCGGTTGCTTCAACTATGTCCATACCTCCACTTTAGTGTTCAGTTTGAGCAGAGGCAGGACATTCTTTTTGCACTTGTTTTATGGTTTTGTAAAAGTAAAAAAAAAAAAACACCCTCTGAAACTTTGTCCAATCTCCCTTTTACTTTATTTATCTCTTCCTTTATTTCTTAGAGTTCTTATTTGTTCTCTAAAAAAATCTTTGAATTTCATGATCTTCAGTGGGATGTTCATGTCGCCCTCCTCTATGTTGCACAGAATAGTGTTAGCTTAAGGATCATTGTGGCTAATGTGAA